TATATATATATGAGGGATCGTGGTGAAATCGGGCGCTCGTCATAATAATGAAATCGAAGAAAATGGTTTGACAATTTTAATCACATTTTTTTAAGGCTCAGCATCTTTTATGTCCATTTCAAAACACATTTCTTGGTAGATTTTACTTTTTTTAAAACGTTGATTTAAGGCCTCCAAAAAATTTAAGTTTTCAGTTTCCAGAGACTCCCAAGCTTTGTAAGTCCCCAAACTTTGGCGGCCATTTTCTTGCCAATTAAACTTCTGAAACCAGGCGACTCCCATCTCCTCTAATTTCGAATAACTCGACTTCTGTTCAAGATAGATGGGTATTTTTTTTCGTCGAAGACAAGAAAGGAGAACAAGCTTTAAGACGATACCAATAAATTCACAAGCCCCAAAACTGAGGATCGACTGATTCCACCGCGTCGTGACACATATATAATTACAGTGGAGTCCACTTATAACGAGTCCGAAAAAACGAGAAGTCTGTTATAAAGGCACTATTCAAAAACCCCGTTTTTTTCTCCTCTTTACATTTGTAAATAAAATACTGCTATAGCGCTATCAGACAAACATGCGAGTCGGTTATAGCGGAATATTGCTGCTGCTGTGCACAGTGCATAGGCCAATCATACATGCAAAACCTCGCCAGTTGAGAAACAGAACGCATCGCGTGATAGGCCAGCGTAAGCCAAGTTTAAATATCAAGGCCTACCATGCCTCTCACTTCTCCGATGTGGGGTTGGGGAGGTCACAGCAATGGGAAGGATGGAGCGAATGAGTGACGTGCGCAAGCAGACAGAATGTGCCACAGGGTGTGGTGGGGTGGTGTGGGGGCAAGGAGCTTAGAACTAATTCGATTTTTAATCAAGTAAGACCTAGAGGTCATGTTGAAACAAAATCATCATCAGGGGAGATAGCAAAAGGAAATAAACAGAACACTAAACTCATAGATTAGGTCTACTTTACAGTTTCTCTTGAATTTATTACTGGATCCCTTATAGCGAGAATCCTGCTATAACGGACATTTTGCTCTGGTCCCCTCCCTCTCTTTATAACAGGATTCCACTGTATATGTTACCCCATATATAATTTATGCTATATTGGCACGAGAATCGTCAGATGTTTCACGGCACTTTTGACACTCACTTGTGATACTTCACGTAAAAATGCAATTATGTAGATCGATCAACGCGCATACGAGTAATATTACGCCTACATAGTACCTTGATGTAATTGTGAAGGGAGCGAGATTAGGTACATGTGACGTCACAATACTATAACCACGTCCCTTGTTGATGATGCTTTCCTTCACCCTCAAGGCCGAAGGGCATTGTACACCGCAAGACTATGAGTACTTCAGTAAATCCTTAGTATATCACACTCGGTTGAGAACGTACTCTCGACTGTAAGGTAACTTAGTGTAGCGTAACGTTCACTTTCTGAAGTCTGGAGCAGTGGCGTCTTGTGGGGTGGGGTTTTACAGCTTCAGTTCCACCTGGTTTTCTTCACCAAAAAGTTATTTCTCTGACCAAAATCAAAACAAAATACATGTATTTCACGCCAATTTTTAAAGTGAGAAAACATAATAATGTATTCCGATAAAAAGCGGAAAACCCAAACGAAACTTATGAGGCATAATAGCTCGAAAAGTGATATGTTGTCTGAGTTCTAACTAATAACAATCTGGCCAGCGTTCCTTTCGTTAGGGAGAGTGAAATTTCATTGGTTTGTTCATTAATTAAGCCCTGGCACTTAAGTTCCCAAAGAGTGAACATTACTGGGGTCTTGACCTTGCATGGCTCAAGGCCGAGACAAAGAAATTGATGGTTCTATTGGGCTCGGGGGCTGAAGCCGCTCAGGGACACGTGATTAAACATCGCGCACTTGACTGTTGATTATTAACATCAAATTTGCACACCCTCACGGTTCCAGGCCAAAGCGTAGACTGAGCACCCCCCCCCCTCCCCCAACCCTTTCTTTTCCTCCTCCCTCTGTGGGCTATTTGGAGAAACCGTCTTACTCATTATGATGATGATGTCAATGCGTTAAGACTGTGTGTGCGCACTTAAATGCAGTATTGAGCGTGTTGACTGTTAGTGATCTCATCCGTGCGTTCTGTGTTCACTGGGTGTTCTGTATGTGGAGACCAGACAAACAAAGAAGCAAGCGTCGTTGCATTGTGTCAGTGAATTGTGATAGTTTTGAATTGGAATCTAATGTTTGTTCTTCAATGCAGCAATGTATCGTGGAGAATACTTATTTGAAATTCGCTTACTTTAGTTCTATATTACTATTACTATTACATGAAGCAAATTAACGTTCACGAAACTGGGACCTGATCAACCAGCAGAATTTTTTATTTTTGCATCCTGTAGTTGATATTTTAATTATGACTGGTTCATCGTAAAGGATGCACCGTTCAACCAACCAAAGTGCTCAATATGAGTACAGAAGCACACACATTACGTACTTATTGTATAAAGATGCAGGTGAGTCCATTTTCCTGGTTTCAAACGTGTTTTGTTTGTGTGTGTGGAGGGAGAGAGAGAGAGAGAGA